GAAGGGAAGGGAAGGGAAGGGAAGGGAAGGGAAGGGAAGGGAAGGGAAGGGAAGGGAAGGGAAGGGAGTCAGTTTGGAGTTGTGGTTAAAGGCACCACACTAGAAACCTGGAGACCATGAGTTCTAGTCTTGCCTTAGGGTGCCTTCAGGGTGACTCTGAACCAGTCCCCCTCTCTCCACCCTAGGAAGAAGGAAGCAACAGGAAACCCCTTCTGAAAATGTGGCCAAGGAAACTGCAGGGACGTGCCTACAGAGTCAGGAGTGACTCAAAGGCAGCCCATGCTGATTGCAACCATGGGGTAAATTCTCCCAGGCCAGCCCCAGCCCCCTCACCTTTTCCATGCTGCTGTAATACAGGTCTTTGGCTGAAGCGACAGCAGCCAGATTGTTGGCTTCAGCAGTGGCCTGCAAGGGAGAAGAAGCAACGTCAGAAACAGAAGCCACGAGACGAGCTCTCCCACCTTCTGCTGAGTTTCAGGAGAACTGTTAAAAAACCGGCGCATTAGTGGAATCTTGGAAAAGGATTGGGTGTAAGTTGGGAGCCCCATCCTGGGTTGTGGTTGGAGGTTTATTGCTGTGGGTTTTCTATACCAGTGTTTCTCAACTTTGGCAACTGTAAGATATGTGGACTTCAGCTCCCAGAATTCCCATGGCTGGCTGGGGAATTCTGGGAGTTGAAGTCCACATATCTTAAAGTTGCCACAGTTGAGAAACCGTTCTATACAGTTCTATAATTGTATTTGCTATTGCTAGTCGTTTTCTGTTACACTGTCTTACTATCTCTGTACTCTAAGAAGGGAACGTATACTGCTCAGAGCCTCTCAAGGTTCATATAAGCCCCAGTAAATGAATAAACAGAATAAATAAAAAGTCCAGTTCATTTACCGTTCCATGCTCTCCTTCCTCAAAAGGGTATTGTTTTGTATTGATTTATACTTTCTCCCAACTTGCAGCAGTGACTCTGGGTTAGGAGCATAAAAGCAAAGGAACTTAAAAAAAAACCCAGCAACACAACCAAGGAAGTGAGGCCAACTGTTGAGGATTCAATTCAAGAGCCTTCATTCTGGGTCAGGCTCTGGCCCCAGGCGTGGGGGAAGAACCAGGTTTTCGGGGCCTTATGGAAGCCACCAGGGTCAGAGCCATCCATGTCTCGCAAGGATTATTCTTCCATAAGTCAGGCACTACAACAGAGGTGTGCCTCCTGGGTTGTTTTTCCTAGGAGGGATCCAAAGCACGTCCGCTCTGCTGGATCTCTGGGATCTGGCAGGGAGGATGTGCTTCAGATCCCATGGGGTGAACAAAGGCAACTGGAGATGTTCTGCAGGCTTTGCAGGCAATAACCAGCACCTTAAATTGTACCCAGAGATTTCAGCTCTTCCATTTCCAGGCTAAACTCACCAGCAACATGGACTTAGGGTGTGGCAGGTCTTCCCCTTGATAGATCTTGATATAAGCCTGGGGTGAAGTGAAGGAAGAGGTCACTGGCCACAATTATAACACTGCACATTGTTATTAAAGCATGATTTGCTTCATTCATTTATACTGCTTTCCGTTCAGTCCAAAAATAGCTATGCATTCTGAATCAACTTAAAAAACACAGCACCCTCTGCACTAGAGGCAGGCAGAAGGAGGAGATCCCTCAATAGGATTTGCAACACAAAACGGAGCAGCGCGAGGGGGTTCTTCCACAGTTCCCGCCAGCCACGCTATTTCTGAGATGTTCTACCACCAGCTCAACATGCGCTGAGCATTGCCTGTCCTGATCGTTCATCCACCCTTGAATATTTTATTTATTTATTTACTCGATTTACATCTCATTTCTTTTGTACAGGAACTGAAGATGACATATATAGTGCTCCTCTTCCCTATTCCCCCCCCCCCCCACAACAATAATCCTGTGAAGCAGGTTGGGCTGAAAGAGAGGGGTTGTGAGGGAGCTTCTGTGGCTGACAGGGGCTAGTACCTGGGTCTCCCCACACCTGGTGCAGCACCTTCAGCATTACCCCACCCTGTCTCTTGGGCTCAGAGGGAGAGACACCCCCCCCAATCTATGAGAAACTTCAATGGCCAAGAACATGAATTCTCTTAGTCTAGCACCTTAAGAATCCCATCCCTTAGTCTAGCACAGGGTTTCTCAACCTTGGGAACTTTAAGATGGGTGGACTTCAACTTCCAGAATTCCCCAGCCAG